ATATTGTTTTTGTGATTAATCACTATGCTTTAATTATGTTCAATTCGTAACAGTGAAAATACACCCTGCATATCAGATATTTACATTACGATTCATAACAGTAGTAAAATTACAGTTATGAAGTAGCAACAAAAATACTTTTATGGTTGGGGTCACCACAACATGAGGAACTGTATTAAAGGGTCGCGACATTAGGAAGGTTGAGAACCACTGTCTTATAGTAATAAAATTTGTAGTCTGACACCTTTTAGGACACTAGACTCAAGTTGTTCTGAGCAGAATCTTACAAGTAACAGCATTATAATTGTCTTTCATGTTCCTCGTTTTTAATCCCTTGTAGCTTCTGTAGAAATACATAGTACAGCTTCTTTTAAGGTTTAGAAAGGCCAGTATATTCCTCATAATCATCCTCTCTATGTGTTTGTCTTCAAATCAGTTTTGGACTACTGGCAGTACTTTGATTTGTCCCTGCAGTTTTCTTGGCAAGTTGTTTTTGGAAGTGGTTTGCCATTGTCTCCTTTCTAAGACTGGGAGAGAATGACTGGCTCAAGGTTACCCAGCTGGCTTTGTGCCTAATGTGGGACTAGAACTCAGTAGCAGCAAACTGACTCCATAATCATCTTAGATTTACAAAAAAGGGCCATGCAAATAACTTTCTCATGCTTTGTTCCTTTTAAATGTATAAAATATTGAGATTTTGTTAACATTCTATTTAAATTAGAGGTTTTCCTAGATCTCTTCTACCCCTTTTCATTCTCCCTCAAAAAAGTTTGGCTTTGCATCAGATTCACAATACTAACCAGCTGAAACAATCCTTTCTGTCCCTCTTCACAGTTAACAACAGCTTTGCAAATCAGCCAGCTGTATTATTTTTTTCAGTGAAGTTGCCACCAAAATAAGCTTGAGAAACAACTTACTTTAATATTTTGCACTTGAGCAAAAACTGTAATTGATTTCCTTTATTGGAGTTGTCGGTTTTTTTTACTGGTTGAACTAACTCATTTCTTCTATACAAATAAAATAAATAAAAATAGAATAAAAGAGGTTTTTTTCTGAAAATTTGTGACTATGTGCCACTTCGTCAGGAAAAAAACTTTATTTTATTTAGAATCTACACTTTTTTTCTGACAAAGTGCACACAGTTACAAATTATCAGGTCTAAAAATATTTCACAGGTCCTAGCAGCAATTGTTAGCATAGGCAAATCTACAAGTTAGAATAAAATAATCTACATATGCCATGAAGTTGAGGTGATGGACGTTTGCATCTAAAGGATGCTAAATTAAAGAAGACTAAGTTAGGATATCAGCATAGAATCAGACTAATGGATTTATTTAATACTGGCACTGAATTATAATATTTGCATCCAAAAGATATGCTAAATATAAACTTGAATTCTGAATTTCAGTTTTTTATCTGTTTCCTGGTGGGGGGGTTGCTTTTAAGTAAATAGAAACACAAAAAATAATTGCCAGTAACCTTAACCAGGAGAAAATAAGCTAATCTTTGGAGCAATTTGTTTTTGTCCTTGGAAACTGTGTCTTCAAAAGGCTATTGTGTAGCCCTGGGTGATTAAAATAATGGGAATGTTGCCATTAACGTCAGCGGCATAGAGACTGAATCCATTGTCAAATCTCCCCCTCTCCCAAAATAGAGCTTTTCAGAGAAGTTTGAGAGTGGAGGAGAAACTTGTATTCAAATGTGTCTGACACAAAACAGTATGTCCTACTGGTTCCTGGGAACCAGAAAGTGAAACTGGCCATAAATAAAAGGAGGTTGACCTCTTAAGATTCATTGTTAAAAGTGAATACCAAGAATAAATACAATTAGGCTTCTGGAATTCATGTATTCTTAAAAGTTTAGACTAAAATTGCACTTTTAGAAATCAATCTTGTCAACTTATGGGATTTAGTGGCCAAGATATATATTCATGATATGGAACGTTAAGCTGATTGTATGGTGTTTAACCTTTTTAACCGTTGAAATAATATCTTTTTTAACTCTTAAAAGTTAAAAGTGAAATAGAAGATTCCATAGTGCTGAATGAGATGCAGCTCTCTTGACTTAAATTATAGTGGCTTTTACATAATGGAGGACGAGGGCACTTTTGAACATACATGCATGTTTGCATGTGACTGGACTTTCTGGACAAGCACTTGCAATATTTTTTCCCCAAGTATAGAGAAAGCAGGCAGGCATATTTATTTAGTCCCATATTTATTTAGTCTCATCTGGAGAGGTCCTAGAACAGTGGTGGTGAACCTATGGCACGCATGCCAGAGGCGGCACTCAGAGCCCTCTCTGGGCACGCGTGCCATGCCCCAGAGATGGCAACTGTTCCTCTACAGCCAGCTGCCCGCTAACTCACCGAGGTCCCACGTGGCCGGATGCATCCTGGCATGGCTGGTTTCCCTCCCCCCCCGTCTCGTCCCTCCTGGCTTCGCATGCTCTTTTTCCCGGGCACGACCCACTGCATTGCCTCCTTAGTTGTCGGCCAGCTGTCCAGCTCAGAGGTGGCTTCTCTGAACTGCTGGCAGTGGGCTGCAGAGCCCCAGAGGCTGTGACTGCTGACGGACACCGTCAGCCCCCATGCGCTCGCTGGCCTCTGTGTGCGGGGACCGATGGTGTCAGGCAGCAGCTGCCCTGGCCCTTGCCTTGCCCCATAGCAATGGCACCCCCGCCCTGCCTTGCCTCACCCCGCAGGATGAGCCTCCTGGCTACCACCGCACCTGCCAGAGACCCTCTGGATCTCCCCCAACCCTGCCCACCCCCCACAGGCGTCCCTCCCCACGAGCAACATTGAGGGGTGGGTGTGCCCACCTTGGCCACACCCACCCAATTTGCCATGACCACAGCCTCGCCCATCCAGTGGGCCACGCCCATCCAGTGGGCCACGCCCTCCTGGCACCCGGCGATAAATAAGTGGGTTTTGGATTGCCGTTTGGGCACTCGGTCTCTAAAAGGTTCGCCATCACTGTCCTAGAAGGTAGCTGTATTCAGCAGTCTCATATTTCAGCCGCTTTAGATACAACTTTTGCCTGCTATTGCTTTGCTATTTCACTGTCCTTTTGTGATATAAGGAATTGGAGCGTTCTCCAGAGTAATGAAATATTTATCCTTTTATGGACTATCTTGATTATTGGATGTGCCAATTTAGGCTGTAAAACTTTAGGTAGTTGGTTCTCTAGATCCTCAGATATTTTAAACTTGAAAACCAGAAGAAATGTGGAATAGCAATAGCACTTAGACTTATATACCGCTTCACAGTGCTTTACAGCCCTCTCTAAGCAGTTTACAGAGTCAGCATATTGCCCCCAACAATCTGGGTCCTCATTTTACTGGCCTCGGAAGGATGGAAGACTGAGTCAACATTGAGCCAGTGAAAATCGAACTGCCGAACTGCTGGCAGTCAGCAAAAGTAGCCCGCAGTATTGCATTCTAACCATTGCTCCACCATGACTATTATGGACATAAGTTGTCAAGAGTCACTGTGAAAAGACACTACCATGGAAACTTCCAACAAGAGAAAAGAGAAGTCAAAGACAAGAAAGACAATTTCTCAAGAAGGAACTTAACAAAAATTTCAGAGAACTGTTGGAAAGACTTAGAAAAGTATTAAATGGGGCACTTGAGAAATGGAGCGCTCCTTTCCGTGCAGTCACACAGGGTGCTTCAAAACGCAGGGAATCCCTGCATTTTGAATAGCCTCTCCAGAGCACAAACACTCCACAATCCACAATGCCAAATCCTAACCCCAACCACACCCCAGGGCATCCACAATGCCAATCCTAACCCCCAACCCACCCCAGGGCATCCACAATGCCAAATCCTAATCATCCCAGGGAAACCACATTCCTTCACTAACCTTTCCAGCTCTGTTCTTCCGCCCTTCCAACTTCTCACAAAAAAAAAAAGATCTCGCAAAGTTGGAAGGTCTGATTGAACTTTTTTTACCGATAGTCCCACAGGCTTCTTTTGTTGCACACGGTGGCGGAGAACAGAGCTGGAAAGGAGGTTAGTGATGAGAGGCTTTGGGGAAGCAAGAAGAGATGGGGAAGGGTGTGCCCTGGCCGTCGCTGCCTCACTCCACCAGCATCAGGGTTCAGAGGCTTGTTCTCACCGGAAAAAGCCATTTCTCAAGCCCCTTCCTGACGAAAACAAACTTCTGGATCATGACCACTCAGTGGTTGCCACTGCTGCCAGCTCTGATGTGGATGCAAGGGACCTGGCCCCGCGATGCCTCACTGCTCAATTGAAGGCTTCGTTCTTCCCCTCAAACTAAGGCTGGCACATGTGAGCGAGCAGTGCATCCGGACAATGGACAACACTGGTTCCTGCGCCTGGCCAACTCCGATTCCATGCTTTGCCCCATAGGCATGCAAACAAAGCAAACACTTCCCCCCCCAGAGAATGGAAGCTGCTGGGGGCCATGATCTCTTTTGCAGAGAATTTATGTTTGAACTCACGCAATATTACGGCACCCAGGAGCTTCCATTGTCAGCCCGAAAAGCATTTCCAAACCGACTCTCCTCTCCCTCAAAGAAAAAGAAACCACAGCAGAGAGGAGATTTTGCAAGGTAAGTGAGTCCGGCGTGGCAGGAAGGAGGGGGAAGCAGTTGTGGGGAGTGGGGAGAGGAATAGGGTGAATATTGCAGAGCCTCTGCTGTTGGTCGCTCATAAGGGCGAACAACCGCTGTGGTGCTGCAATAGTTGTAATTTTGGGATTTGCTTCTAAACACTAGAGGGCGCTGATCACATAACTTTGAATGAGCGTAAAGTGAACACTCGTAACTCAGGGATTACCTGTAATAGTTTTGGGGTAGGGTAGGAGAGAAGAGGATATTTGTGTATTTCCCATTCTTTTATGTTTAGCACACTGTATAAAAAAGTAATATGCTATGCCATGCTACAAGTATTTGTTTTCTAGATACATAGGACACTTAACAAAACATTATATAGGAATGAGATCTTACACTGCTGAATTTTGTTTTCCTTTTTAGGCAATATTTTTATGTCAAGACATAGGACCATGGTATTTTCAAAAAATGTATGCAAGATATTGGAAACATTACAATGAAGCTATGGAGTGGATGTATAGACATAAAAACGCTTATAGGAAAGCCATGGAATTATTATATAATCCATCACTTCATCCTTCCAAACAACATCAACGTTATTCTGATTGGGATGAAAATATTCCAGGGAGAACTGGTCCATCTTTTTTCTCCACCTCAGACAGCAAATCACGGTATCCTCCAAGGCCTCAGGATGACTTGCATTATGTCAGAAGAAGGAGAGCAGCAGAGAAAGATTCTGAAATAGATTCAGAATTTGAAAGTGAAGAGGACATAGAATGTGACCTCAGCAACATGGAAATCACAGAAGAACTTCGTCATTATTTTGAGCAGACTGAGCGACACCAGGAAGAACTACGTGAGTGTGCTCTCTTCTTTTATTCTTCATGTCAGTTTATTTTTATACTGTTTATCCCTTATTTTCATGTCCACATCTGTTGTCTAAAGAGCTGAGCCTGGAAATCTTGTAGATAGGATTTTCATTGTGAGCTCTTCACAAACCAGGGATCAGAAAGCTCAGGGACTAGTAATTTGCAGTCAAAGTGTCAATGTCTCTAGACAAAATTGCAAAATATTTTTTCAAGCTGCTTTGGAATGAAAAAGATAATGAAAAAAGTGGTGATGATTTATCTGAGCCACTAAGATTTAGATATAAATACCTTTCAGTGTCACTGAATAGCCGGTATAATTCAAATAGCCAATTTTGGCTAGTGATTATAACTTTTAGTTAATAATCAGCCATGGTTCATTACAGGAGAAAAAAAGCCTGGGATATAAAGGCTTTAGGACAGGGCTTTTCAACCTTTTCACCCATTGTACCACTTTTAGGATATGGCAACATCTGAGTACCACCAAGCGCCTAGCAAGATGTCAAAAACTTGATGACAAAAAAAAAGGAAAAAAGTGATAAAGTACAGGTAGTCCTCGACTTACAACAGTTTGATTAGTGACTGTTCGAAGTTACAATGGCACTGAAAAAAGTGCCCCCCAAGCCACAGCCTGCCCGCCCAGCGGCGCTCTTCCTCCTGTCTGAGGTTTTCATTGTTGTGAGCATTTCTGTTGAGGATTGGCCGTGGGGGTGGGATGGGGGGGTGTTTGGTTTTTATTCCCACTGTCTGCTGGGTGGTTGTAGCAGGTTTTGGTCACTTCACATGACCCTGGGACACTGTGACCATCATAAATATGAATAAGTTGTCAAGCATCTGAATGTAAATCATAAGACCCTGGAGATGCTGCAATATTCCAGCTGATCGGCGCTTCTTCTGGGCTCAGCAGAAGCACCAGGATCAGTGCTGCTTTCCAGCTGATTGGTGCTTCTTCAGGGCTCAGCAGAAGCACCAGGATCAGCACCAAGCTCCAGCTGGAGCCTGGCGCTGATCCTGGTGCTTCCATTGAGCCCTGACAGCCCCGAAGAAGCGCCAATTAGCTGAAAAGCGGCACTGATCCTGGCACTTCCGCTGAGCCCTGACAGCCCTGCAGCTCCAGCCATCTCTCACTCAGGCTTATGTGGTGCTGCCACCAGTTCAGCTCATTCCCCTCCCCCGCTACCACTTTTCTAGGATGGTCGCGTATCACCTGCCAGGTGCCAATGTACCACAGGTGGTACCCGTACCACTGGTTGAAACTGTAAGCTTTTCTCCTAAAATGAGAAAATCTTATGCAATATACTAGGCAAGCTTCAAGCTTCAGCTATTTATGATCAAGTCAGACTTAGCTATTCTCGATCAAGTTAGAAAAGCAAAACTGGGATTTCTCCACACTCCCTTTCATTTTCTCAGGCATTTTTCATTCAGAAGTTGTTGAGAGAAATACTACTTTGCAGTTTTGTGTAACTTGGTCTTAAAATTCTCTTAAATTGCTTTAAATCAAAGATAAGATCTAATTTATCCAGCCAAGCTGATATATTGATTTTCCAGTTTGGCCATAGGCATAGTAAAAAGTCATTCATATACTGTTATGAAATCTGTGCTTGTCAGCTACTCTATCTACTAATAATTTGGATCCCAAATATTTTGGTAAAATGGAGTTTAACCAAGCTAGTTTTTCTTCTGACCACTTCTCTTGAGCATGTATCATAATAAAGAAAATTGACCAGGGACCTTTTCTGGGAAGTGAATCTCACATTATGTTACCGTTGGAAATTCTTTTGGCTCTTCAAAATGACAGAGGAATTTCAAGCCTAATTAGAATCTGAGTATATATATCCAAATATTTATAGCCCTATTAATATGGAACTTGTAAACCTATGGCTATAAGAGTGTTGTGCTTTGTGTGGATTTGATTTCTGTGGCAAGAGTCTACAGGGCAATTTTACAGTTTGTTCTAAACCAGACATGTCAAACACGCGACGTCACATGACGTCATGCAACGTATCGGGACAGTTTTGCCATTGCCGGCAATGGGGTGGGCATGGCTTTCGCGTGACGCATCCAGCCCGTGGGCCGGCAGTTTAACACCCCTGTTCTAAACAATATATTGAAACTTTTAAAAAAGCACTGTTCTGAGCCTTATCCTGTGAAATTTGTGCGTATAAAATGCTATTGTTTAAAATTAATATCAACATGATATTTTTCCATTTTAATTAGTAAATTATTAAAATGGTCCAGAGGAAATTCTTAGTTATATTGCTGAAGCCTGGAGGAAAGTCGTGACTAGGATATCATACAGATCAGCCATTTACTTTCTCTTTTCTTGATTTAATCCAACAGCATAGATTTCAATACATCTTTATCCTTCAAGTGTTTGTTATGCAGTATAGGAAGTTTCTCTCTCTCTCTTTCTCTCCCCCTCCTTCTCCTTGTCCCCCACCAAAAATAAAACTTTTAGCTTGAGGAAAAAGGTTTTAGACAAATTAAAAGCAGTTTCTTTCCTGGACTTCCGGTGATGATGCTGCGCTGATGGCGGCTTTCTTTTAGCTGCCAGCCCTGTGATTGTGTGAAAAGCGCGCGGAGACAGCGAAAATCAGTTGTCCCGCGGCTTGAAAACCTCCTCCTCAGGAGAAGAGGGGGAGGAGAGTTCGCCTCGGGTAGAGGTAGAGCTCCTCTAGACCTCCTTAATTATTTGGAGGTCGGAGGGAGAGAGTTCCCTCGGAGCCCGAGGCTTTCTCCGCACTCCAGGACGCCTTTGCTCGGAGCTTCAGGAGCAAAGCAAGACGCCGCATCCACATCTGCATTTTAAAGGGACTTGTGAGTAATTTAAAAGCAGACAGAGCTGACCAGGAGAATTTAAAATTGCAAGTGCTGGAAACTTTAACTCGGGGAGAAATAATCTTCTCCATATTCTAATTGGNGATAGATTATATTCAGAGAAAGTATGAACTGAAAAATTATTATGTAGCTTTTGATTAACAAAAGATATTTAGTAAAAATTTTGTATGTATTTTAATGTTATTTTAGAGTCATAGCAATTTTATACTAGTGTGTAGTAATATGGAGTAATTGTGAACAGATTTGGATTATTTTGTGTTTATTTCCTAGATTAGCTTTGGGAAGTCCTGGGGGGGAGGGGGGAAAAGGGTAGGTTTGTATTATAGATTTATATGTATGATTTTTTTTTTAAGGAGGTGTCCGGTGATACCCCAACTGCACAGAACGGGATGGTTGAGAGTGGAAGGGAAGTAGGAAAGAGGGAGGAAGGAGGAGTGGTGGTAGAATGAGAGGAGGAAGGAGTGGTAAGTGGAAGAGGGTGGTGCGGGAGGGGTACACCGGACACGTCTGTGAATGTTTTGTTAAGCTTTATTCTTTTTGGTTGATATTGTGATAAAAGATGTATGTTTATGTTTTTCCAAATGAAAAATAATAAAAAATTTAAATACAAAAAACTAGTTCTGTTCATGTTTTTAACAAGCATTTTAGTTTTTTCTTTATTTATCTTTAGGCCTGCTATTTCCCTGTATTTACTCAGTACTTCCATCAATCTTGTCCCTGATTGTAGTGGCTCTTCGATTATGAAAACAAGATCGTCTGCAAAGGCTTGCGTTTAATCTCTAGTCCTTTGATCTGTTCATCTTTCCGAATCACTCTAATTAGTACCTCCAGGGACAGTACAAACAATAATGGCGATAATGGGCAACCTTGCCTTGTGCCTTTTTGAATTTGGAAGCTTTCAGTTGTTTCTCCATTAATTATTACTTTTGCTGCCTGTTTGAAGTAGACTGATTTAAACATATTTGTGAAATTTCCCCCAAAGTCCATATACACCAATTGATTGAGCATAAAATCCCATTTCATGCCAGGACTTCTGGTGATGATGCTGCACTGATGGCGGCTTTCTTTTAGCTGCCAGCCCTGAGATTGTATGAAAAGCGCATGGAGACAGCGAAAATCAGTTGTCCCACGGCTTGAAAACCTCCTCCTTGGGAGAAGAGGGGGAGGAGAGTTCCCCTCGGGTAGAGGTAGAGCTCCCCTAGACCTCCTTAATTATTTGGAGGTCAGAGGGAGAGAGTTCCCTCAGAGCCCGAGGCTTTCTCTGCACTCCAGGAAGCCTTTGCTCGGAGCTTCAGGAGCAAAGCAAGACGCCGCATCCACATCTGCATTTTAAAGGGACTTGTGAGTAATTTTAAAGCAGACAGAGCTGACCAGGAGAATTTAAAATTGCAAGTGCTGGAAACTTTAACTCGGGGAGAAATAATCTTCTCCATATTCTAATTGGACTTAAAAGGGAAAAATGACACCGGAATGCTGTTTCTTTGTTTGAAAGGGGGAAAGTGAAACTTATAAGAAGTGGATTTATACAGACAGGAAAATGGTGTCAAAGCATTTGGGAATTTCTGCTGTTTCTAAAGGTACAATCTCCTCTCCTGTAACACAACCTGCAGTGCAATCTAAACCGAGATCCCCCCCACCTACTCCCCCACCACCTGCATTTACGCTTAAAGATATTCAAGATGCTTTAAAGCTAGCAACACAAGAAATAAAGGAGGAGATGGCTGATCTCCTTGATAGTAAAATGAAGGATGAGATGGCTGACCTTCTTGAGAATAAAAATAGAGAAATGAGGGAAGATATGTTGCTTGCACTTCAAGGGTTAGCTACACATATTGAACGTTTGGACGACCGGGTGGATGAAGTTGTGGAAAATACTGAAAAACTAGAAAGCAGAGTTGTTAAAGTTGAAAATAAGATTGATATAACAGAGGATGAAGTTACCATCTCACAATATAGAGATATGGAATTTGCATTGCGAATAAGAGGATTAAAGGAGGATT